AGGAGGTTGGGAGGCGGCGGCGGTTTGTGTGTGGCAGCCAGGCGCGCGCTGAGCGCACGTGTGCGGCCAGCTGGGAGGCAGGGCTAGAAACAGTGGGGATGTGCCAGGCCACAGGCCTCCCTCATCGCCGCCCTGACAACTCTCCCCTCGCTGCCAACCTGCGCTGCCATCCCACCAACAAGCCCCCCCGGCCCCCGCCCCGCGCCTCACTTGCGGCCGATGAGGCGCTTGACGTCGTACACGGTGCGCTTGGGGTTCACCGTGGCCTGGTTCTTGGCGGCGTCGCCGATGAGGCGCTCGGTGTCGGTGAAGGCGACGTAGGAGGGGGTGATGCGGTTGCCCTGGTCGTTGGCGATGATCTCAACCTGCGCAGGCAAGGCAGTAGGTGGTGGCGGTGGGTGAGCGAGGTGGGTGGCAGTGATGGCGGTGGCGGGGGCGTGGCGGGTGACGAGGCCAGGAGGGAGGGAGTGCAGTAGGTGGCGCGAGCCCGGGGGGACGGGGCTAATGGGCGAGGGGTGCAGGCACAAGTCTGTGCACACAAGCACCGCGGGCACGAAGACGGAAGCACCCAGGTGGAGCTGACGGTTGCGGGCCGGTTTTCAAAGCTGGGTCCCGAGGCAGGGACGCCGTGCCCAGCACCCACCTTGCCGTTCTTGTACACGCCCACGCAGGAGTAGGTGGTGCCCAGGTCGATGCCAATCACCGTGCCCAGCTTCTCCTGCTCCGTCTCCTCCTTGCCAGCGGCGGGGGCGGCGCACAGCGCCAGGCACAGCGCCAGGGCTGCACGGGCAAGGCGCGCACGTTCGGTGAGTGAATAAGCAGCAGGAGACAGGCAGGATGGGGCCGGGGGCTGCAACGGGCAGATACAGCGTGGCGTGCCGGAAGGCGCTGGCGGCATCTGGCAGCGCCTTGCAGCGGCGGCGGCGGCGGCGGCAGCATCAAGCATCACGGCAACAAACGGCGCAGGCTGTGCGTGGGTCCACAATCGGTGCCCAATGTGCGGGCAGCAGGCGGGCCCCAAGTGGTGGCGCGGGAGCCGCGGCGCGGCCCAACCAGCGGCGGCATGTCTTGACTGAGGGACCCCTGCAGCGGCTGCAGCACGCCCTGGTGGGTGATCCACCCCCACCCAGGTGCCCACCTGCCACAAGTGCAGCCGATCGCAGCTTCATGATCGCCAGAGCCTGTGAATTCGAGGTTTCCCTGAGCTTGGTGAGTCGCAGCGGCCACGCAGCAGCTGTAAGGCCCGCGAGAAACAAACAATGATTGCCTGGAAGCGGGTCGGCGAAGTGACGCGCGAGACACGTAGAGTTGTACTTTTGCCGTACACCATTCAGTTCACCGATTTCTGGGCCTTTGGCGTCTCGCCCATTGATTGCTCGCTTCTCAGGCACCCATCTGCACGTGCTCCTGCCGCCATGCCGCGCAACGCAGCCTGGCTGCTGCTTCTGGTGGCCTGCGCAGCCCTGCACGGTGAGCAGCGTGGCACCCAGCGCCAGGCCCAGCCCCGGCATCCGATCTGCCACCCCAGCACCCCCGATCGACCCCCCGCCATGCTCCCATGCCACTCCCTGCAGGAACCTGCCGGGCCGAGGAGGCCGCGACCCCTGATGCGTGAGCGCCCCGCGGCCCCAGCCCTCTCCTGCTCAAATGCAATGCTGCCGCCGGTTCCCGCCCCCCAGCCTTGCACCCTGCCCACCTTGCCGCCGCCGCCGCTGCCACCCCCCTCGCCCTGTGCAGTGTTCCAGAAACCCCGCCCGCTGTGGCCGCCCCCGCTGCCAAGGACCGCCAGTTCCGTGCCGGCGCAAAGACCCGCCCCTTCCAGGTAAACGGGGAGGCGGCTGCAGCAGGGCAGGCCGGGGGCAGGCTGCCGCTGGGCTCCGCCCGCTGTCCCCGCTTGGCAGAGCGGGTACCGCCTCTGCCTGCCCCACGCCCAAACCCTGCCCCGCCAGCGGCACGCTTCCCCGCCCCACGCCGCCCGCTCCGCGCCCTGTGCCTCCACCTCCCCTGCCTCCCCCACC